CCATTGCCGCACCCTGTATAAAAGGTGAATGGCACTCTCGGTATTCTTTTTACTTTATTTCATAGAAAATGACGCTCTCATATAGAATGACATGTCATATTTTGACATTTTAGATTAAAACATTTATAAACTCAATTTTTTTCAAATGGAATGAGGGTGGCTCATAACATATTCGAAAAGCGATTTTTTTACTAATAATTTGGTACCACACACTTGGTATTTCGTGTCAAACTGTCGTTATGAACCGTATATTACAATTTCAAATAAACCATAAATATGCTAAAATGAGAGACATGACATATGAGAGTGTCATTTCCTATCGAATAAAATAAAAAAATACCGAGGATGCCATTTAAAAATCAAAAGTTGTAGTCATTTCCGGTGAAACCAGAAGTAACCTTATGTCATACTAATATACCAAATCTTATTTTTTTATCTGATAAAATAAAAAGCGTTATAGGGGTGAGTCACTTTTGATACGCACCCGGTATACACCAAAATTATGTTTCTCCTCGTACAGTATGAGCGGTTATATTTAAAATATATAGTATTTTTAAGATGTAAAATAGTTTTTTTAAAGTATTATTTTTAGAATATCGTTTTAAGATGAAAAAATTCTATAAAATATAAACACTGAAAATGATTAAATTTTAAGGTACCGGTTTCTCTTGCCGTTCAGTGTAAATAACCGAAAGAATATAAAAGGAAAATCATATACAACAGAATTATGTTCCTCCTCGTACAGTATGAATGGTAATGTTTAAAACAGTATTTTTATGATATGTGTAGAAAAAATCTCTGTTATATGAATAGTATAAAATATTAAAACAAATAAAAAAAAATTATGATGCATGTTTCTCCTGCCGGCCGGTTAATGTAGGCATCGTATAACCTTTGAATCTTTGAATAAGAAGACTAAGGAAGGAGCATAATGCTATCCATGTATTCATGCATGGTGGGCGGAAAAGCCACCATAAAAGCTCTCTAGGGTGGGGATCCTTGACAGTTCTGTTTGACGATTCATTTGACACATTTGAATTTGATTTGAAATTTTGTGGATTTGTCAGTCTTTACGGAGCTTATTTTATGTTATTTATTATTTATTCTACTACTGATAGTTGTATAAAGGTAGTAAATCTAGATGGAAATTGTGGCAGAACTTAAATTAACAGTGACACTATCGCAATTTATCGAAAAAGACTCTAAAATAGTTGGTTGTGTAGCGTGCGGTAGATCTCCGCAAAAATTAAGTGAAATAATGGAACAACTTTTCGCTTGTAAGTGACTATATAATATACATACGTGTAGTAAACCGATCATTTATGAAATTCACTTAAATTAACTAAATTATATATTTTTCTTGCATTTTAGCTTTTATTTATTACTTGTCAAAGATTAGATGTCAAAGAATTTAGATACGTTAATTTGACTCAAGAATTTGACTTACCTGCTTCAGTAGCGTATCGGATGTTTGTGTTAATAAATACTTATTATAACTTATCTATTTTTATTAGAATTATATATTTTTATAACAATTTTAATAACTACCAACATTTATTCACAACGTAAAATAAAACAACAAATTATTGAGTCTACCCCACGTCTACCCTACATCATAGTTTTACATTTTTTAAATAAAATTAGAACGACAATGATAAACCGGGATTTAAATCGGCCATATTTGAGGCCCATCGCGGTGTACCTAAGATTTTTGATATGCTCCTTCCTTAGTCTTCTTATTCAAAACTTTGAATAAAAAGTATAACCTATAGAATACAAAAGGTGTGCCAAATACAACAAAATTATGTTCATCCTTGTATAGTATGATTTGTTATGGTTAAAATAGTATTTGTATGATTTGAAATATAAATAATAAAAAAAGTTTAAATACAAGAAAATTTTAAGGTGCCGATTTTTTTTTGTCAGCCAGTGTTTATTACTTAAAGAATACAAGGGGTGGATCATATACAACAAAATTATGTTCCTCTTAAAAACAGTACTCTTGGTCATGCCAAAACAGTATTTTTATGAAAAATCTTATCAAAAAAAACCCTTACCTCTCCCAACGCGAGTGGACAATCCTCTTTGCTATCACAGAACTTTTGTCTTTATCTCGTTTCGGGTAAGACTATCACAGAGGGCCTTTGAGGCTTTCTGTGATAAGCCTTTGGCAAAAGTCAGTAAAGTCATACTTTTAATTCTAAAATTGTTATTAATAAGCGAATATCGCTAAAATGCTACTAGCTATTGAGATGAATCAAAAAACAAACTATCCAGAAAAAATGAATCTTGGTTGTAAAGTAGTTTTTAAATTCTATACTTTGTTAAACCATTCCACACTAAACTTTCACCATAATAATACCATTTTGTTTTTTTCTCATGTAATAGACAGATGAGAACTATACTACCTAATTTAAAAAAGAGGTTGAAAAGTCAAATAATTTGACTACAAATTGCTTAAAAGAACATCAAAATCGGCCCACCAAAACATATAATATTGAAATTCAAAATTCACGTGTACGTTTTTTGAGCCGATCGGTGTGTATCATAACCTAACGTGTACAAGAGGTGTATATAAAGAAATTTTGTTCCTCCTTGTACAGTACAATTGGTTACAGTTGTATTGGTAAAATTGTATTTTTATGATGTATACAGGGTGTTTCAAAACAAATGCGAAAAACTTCAGGGGGCGATTCCTTGTTTAAAATAAAGGATAGTTTGCTTCATAAACGTTGGGTCAAAAGTCAACCATTAGGGAGATATCGCGGTACAAAGATGGCGGAAAAATAATGTTTTTATTTTTTATCTTGAAAACGAAAAGAGATAGACTAATGAAATTTTATGGGAGCATTACTGTTATGAAAACACACTTTCTGGTAATTTTCACTTTTTAAAATGAGTAGAAGGGTTTGAAATAACTACTCCTATCATTCTTGTTAACGAAATTTAAAGAAAAATCTTATCAAACACATAGCAAAAAATTAATTTGGATAGCTTGGTTTGTTTAGAAACTTTTATCTCTTGTGTTTTCTTTGATAAAACTCGCCGATTTGAAATTGTAAAATAAAATGTAAAGCATTACATGTCAGGATAAAAACATTTTTAGATAAAGAATCTAGTGATAATAACGATAATAATAAGAATCTAGATAATAACGTATTGCAGTAGAGTAATGTCAATAAAATAATATTAGAAACATCCCCTAAAAAGTGACAGCGACCGACTAGATTTTATCCTAAAAAAATTAGAGCAGCCCACTAGATTCTCTATCTAAAAATGTTTTTTGTCCTGACATGTAATGCTTTACATTTTATTTTTTAATTTCAAATCGGTGAGTTTTATCAAAAAAACATAAGAGATAAAAAAGTTTCTAAACAAACTAAACTATCCAAATTAATTTTTATTAATTTTTTTGCATGTGTTTGATAAGCTTTTTTTTTAAATTTTGTTAACAAGAATGATAGGGGTAGTTTATTTCAACCCCTTGCACTCATTTTAAAAAAGTGAAAAAATTACCAGAAAGTTTGTTTTCATAACAGTAATGCTTCCATAAAATTTCATTAGTCTATCGTTTTTCGTTTTCAAGGTAAAAAATAAAAACATAATTTTTCCGCCATCTTTGTACCGCGATATCTCCCTAATGGTTGACTTTTGACCCAACGTTTATAAAGCAAACTACCCTTTATTTTGAACAAGAAATCACCCCCTGAAGTTTTTCGCATTTGTTTTGAAACACCCTGTATACAGGGTGAGTCTTAAATAAGTGCAAATATTTTCAGGGCTGGTAGATCTCGATAAAAGAAACATATATTCCCTTTAGTATTTTTAAAATAAGTCCAAAATAACTGAGTTATTTTATTTTGAAAATTCCCCCAAAATTGTTTTTTTTGCTTAAATTTTGAGAACCACTGGATCTTTTCCGGATTTTCTTTATTGTAAATTTAATCTACTATCTATATTGCCATATTATGAGGATATAATGTTCCAATTTTTTTTTCAAAAAGTTCCAATTTTTTTTTCGCAAAAGAACCTCATAGTCCTGTTTCTGGGGTCAGAATATACTACAGCTAAAAATATTTGTACTTATTTAAGACTCACTCTGTATATAAAACTATCTGAAATATAAACAATAAAAAAAAATACATGAAAACTTTGTCTGTTTTTGAAAGTGTCTTTTCTTGCCGTTCAGTATATTTTATAACCTAAAAAGTATAAGGAGTAAATCATATACAACATATTTATGTTCCTCCTCGTACAGTATGATTGGTTGTGTTTAAAAGGGATTAAATAGGAGACAATTTTAAGGTGCCGGTTTTTTGTGCCGGTCAGTGTAAATAACCTAAAGAATACAAGAGGTGAATCATATACAACGAAATTATGTTCGCCTTCGTAGACTACGATTTCTTTTGCCTAAATAGTATTTTTATGATACATATAACGACAAATCTTTGTGAAAAATAAATAACAAAAGGGATTAAATATAAGAAAATTTTAAAATGACGTTTTTTTGTGGCGTTCAGTGTAAATAACCGAAAGAATATAAAAGGAGAATGATATATTTTACAACAGAATTATGTCCCTCATTGTACAGTATGAATGGTAATGTTTAAAACAGTATTTTTATGATAGGCATAGAAAAAAATCTCTGTTATATGAGTAATAAAAAAAAGCTTGTTTCTCGTGCCGGCCGGTTAATGTATAGTATAACCTAAAGAATACAAGGGGTGTATCGGATACAACAAAATTATGTTTATCCTTGTAGAGTACGTTTTGTTATGGCTAAAATAGTTTTATTTTTATGATATGAAATATGAATAATAAAAAAAATTAAATACAAGAAAAGTTTAAGGTGCCGGTTTTTCTTGTCGGCTAGTGTTTATAACTTGAAGAATACAAGAGGTGGATCATATACAACAAAATTATGTTTCTCGTAGAAACAGTACTCTTGGTCATGCCATAACAGTATTTTCATGAAAAAAATCTCAATAAAAAGACCTTACCTCGCCCAACGCGAGTGGACGATCCTCTTCGCTATCACAGAACTTTTGTCTCTCGTTTCGGGCAAGAAGCGAACGGACGAACGACAAAGGGCTCCTTCCTCGGTACTGCCGTGGCCCCCTTCCGACTCAGAGCAGCCCCGGAGGAAATTGATCTGGCGGCGGCGGCGCGGCGCGTCGGTGGCGGTGGGGTGCGACGTGGGCGCTTCCTGCCCCTCTGACTGCGCCCCTCGAACTGGTCGGCGGCCGCGGCGTCTGGTTGTGGAATAACGAGGGTTCTGTTGTCTGAGGAGCCGAGTGGAGGTGGTAAAGGGTTGGGGGCGGCGTTGCCGACGTGCCTGGAAAAGTAGGAGGTACCGTGTAAAAAAGAAAGTGTCATTGCATGGTACAATATTATTTATTTTATATACACTCAGAGGCGAAAAAAGCAACAAAAACGGTTTTCGTGTGTTATACAGGGTGTTTCAAAACACATGTGCCATCTCTCGTGGGGAGACCTCACGTAAAAATAAGATTTATTTTTCATATCAACATATGTCCAATTCTGATCGTCGATTTTGATCGTCGCGGACTGGTATTTTTGGAAATTCTATTGAGGGTCAGTTTAACGATATTGAGACCGCACGATCGTTCAACCTTGTGGCAAGTGAAAAAATGCGTAAACATCTAGAAATAATAAGAAAAAACAGCAAATTGGTCGAAGGAATTTATCCTTATCATTTACTCTGATAAATGTTTAAATAAACTTTTCAAATTTCAATACTTATTTTCTCAATGACTCGACCGATTTTCAAAAACGAAGCGAGGAAATATAGAGAATAGAAAGCTCTTTTCATTGTAGTGCGCCTTCCCATTTGAAAAAAGTTGGGGGATGAAACCCCCGTTTAGAAGGTTGAAGATTTTGCAATCATTTTTGGGGCAAAAGTTGTCCCCCTCACAAACAAAATTGATGTGTTTTCGGATTTTTTGAAAAAAAAATATCCTGGCCGTTATGCGTTGCGGAACGTTTTCGATGGGTCACCCTGTATAAAATAAAGTTTCTTATATGCAACACAACGTATTTCATTTAAAAAATTAAAAGAAAATAATAATAAATTGGAATAAATAATATTTGGTGACATAATTCCGGAAAAAACCGAACCGCTCCGAAATTATCAAAAGCTTTGGGTCGCGACCGTTGCAAGAATAGCGCCAAATGGTATTTACATTGTCTTTATGGGCACTTTCCAATCTAAACTTGTTTCATTTATCTATGGAATGACATTTATTACCTGTTTTTTTTTGTCGTATCCACTCTATTTTTAGTGTCTGCATTAAAAACATCATAAAAATATATTTGTATTATACAGTTATACCATATTCTGTATAAACTATTAGAAAAAAAGTTCTATACTTAAATTGCATGAACTAAATATAACATCAATCTAATTTTCAAAACTAACCAAATACAGGATATCTATCAAATTATTGACATATCAAAAGGTTACATTCGGGTACAACTTTCCAGTGATTTTTGCATAAAATTACGAGTAAGTTTTAATAATCACTTTTCATCTTTGTTATATAATTTTCCTGGAAGATAAACCTGACAACCGCGCACTTTTATAACTTGAAACAGATTTCCAATTAACAGTTATACTCTAGTTATACATTTATATTTATATAACGTCATTATTATTTCTAATAAATTGTAAGTATGTTACCTGGAAGATACTGGAAGAATGCAATTAATAGTCCTAGCTCTAAAAAATGTGGACCGCTTCACCGCATTTCTTTAATGAATTTCAGAGGGTTAGGGTTTGAAATAATTATTATTATGCCATGTTTTGTGTTTTTGATGACAAATCCAGTCATTTTGACAGATAAATGAAAGATTTATTAATACCGTGTGATAAAAAACATTAAAATGTTTTTTTTTACAAAAAATAAAAATTTTGTTTAATATATTTTTGACTAAAAATAATTGAATAGTTGTCGATAAATTAGACATATTAATTTGAAATATCATTTATTATACAGGGTTCGGCAATAGTGCGTCGGGCATCTGTAGCATCTATAATAAAAAAACTTAGAAATGTTTTATAAGTGGAAACCTAAAGTATGTAATAATATGTATCTCAGGAAAATATTTTAACTTCTACAGGGTGGCTCAAAAAAGTTTGAGTGGATCGGGATGATTTTTTTAAATGGAACAAACACCCTGTATATTATTGCATTTCTGGTTTCTTTTCTGATCATTTTACATAACTCTAAGGTATTATTAAATATGTTTTTATAGTTTCAGAAATATTAACACATAAATAAAAAAATAGATTTTTTTTCAGTCTTTTAAAAAAAATATTAAAAATAAAAGGAATGTCCTGAAATCAAAACTATACTAGGTATTTACTATAGTTGGTATGTACTTCCTTTGCTATAAATATCGTAATCTTAAACCATACAAGGTGTTTAAAATTCTATTGCAAACTTTCTGAAATATAAAATAATTTTTCTTCGGTTTTTAAACGGAACACCCCGTATATTATGTCTTTGTCAGATGGAGAATTAAAAAATTATCATTTTTTGTATTTAAAGTATTTTAAAATTTTTCAACGGTAGAATACCAGACAAAAATCATTAAATGGCTTAAAAAAATTACTGATGAGAAACCCTAATATAATATTACAAATAAAACCGTTAAAAATTTTGAAATACTTTAAATAAAAAAATGTTCATTTTCTAATTCTCCATCTAACAAAGGAATAATATACAGGGTGTGTTCTATTTGAAAAAAACGAAGAAAATGTATTTTATATTTTAGAAAGTTTGGCATTGAATTTTGAACACCCTGTATGATTTAAGATTTCGATATTAATAGCAAAGTAAGTATAGACCAACTACAGTAAATAAATAGTATAGTTTTGCTATCAGGACATTTCTTGTATTTGTAATAATTTTTTTAAAAAAGATTGATAAAATATTTTTCTTATTTATTTATTAATATCTCTTAAACCACCAAAACATATTTAATAATATTTAAGGATTACGTAAAGTTATCAAAAAGGAAGCTAAAAATGCAATGATATACAGTGTGTTCCATTTAAAAAAAATGATCGCAATCCACTCACACTTTTTTGAGCCATCCTGTAGAAGTTAAAATATTTTAATAAAGTTCCATGTCTGCAGGCTTTTGCTTGGTTACAAACTTATGTTTATTCGAAACAAATAAATTATTATTTATCTATCTATCTACTCCTTCTTTAATCATTTTATTCAAAGGTTTATATACTTTTTCCGCATACAATCTGACATCGTTGTCAAAATGCTATGTTGCTAATAGTATTTAATTATTGCGCGTCTGCCATTGTTTCAAGTACGAATTACGTGAAGCCCTATTGTTGAAAACGAATCATTATTCTCATTTATGGATGCGTTGTCAAGTTTTTCAAACAGATTATACTGATCGACAATAAATATTGGGATGAAACCTTAAAAAACAAGTCTGTTGCACGAAAGGCAATTTATTTTAATTAAAAAAAACTGGGTGGCCAATAAAATGTAAGCCTAACGTAGTTGTATGAAAATTCCAATTGACCATTAAACCATTAAACAAAGTAAAAAAATTACAGTGAGTATTCAGGATGTCCCAGTATTCCAGACATTGAGACATAGAACTACTAGGTATTTCTGGAATCAAAACAATTTCATTGGACACACTTTACCTCTATATGTACTTTAAAAAATAAAAACATTTTTTCAGATATTTTAAGAGCCGTTATTCCGATTTGAATGAGATTTTGTGTGTATGTTTTGCTAAGTGCTTTAATATTTGGCTTTCACAAAAATCAAGAAAAAGTAAATTTTAGTATAAATTTTTCCCACTCAACCGACGACCGATTGTTTTTTCGTAAAATTGTCCTTATATATTTACTACATTTTTTGTCCCTAGTAAAAAAACGCAACCGCGCATACTTTTTGACAAAAAAAGTTACATTTCCGAAGCTGATTTCCAAAAAATATTTTTGTCACATCAAGCTATCTATATATATTATATATCACTAAATATATTTGCCAATAAGCTTCATAAAAAGCTTAAAAAAATTAATAATTTTTAAATTAATTAACGTTCAGGTTTATTTTTGATTGATGCCCTCTAACGGACAAAAGAAGCACTTTTCTATAAAGATAAATTATGTGCAATTAACTTATTTTGATTCAAAAAATACGTAGTCGTTCTATGTCCACGGAATATTGAAACTACCTGAATATTCTGTAGGTCTGCTTTGGAAAAATAAATTCTCCAAAAAAATTTTCTCAAAAACTATGCGGTCGGTGTGGCGGTTTTTTACAAGAGACAAAAATGTAGAAAATACTAATACCATTTCGAGAAAAAATCTGTGATCAGTTTAGTTGGAAAATACTAATGGACAAACGAAGAACTTTATAGAGGGGCAAATTGTGTCCAATTAAATTATTTTTATTCCAAAAATACGCAGTACTATACAGGGTGGGCCACTGAAAACTTACAATGGCTTAATTCTTAAACCAAAAAAGATATCAAAAAAATAAAAAATACCGTTTCTATAATATCGAGGGGAAATACATATGACGTATTTTTTGAACCACCCCGACCTACCCCTTAGGCGGCACCCCTACTCACTTGAAAATCTTAAATGGCAACACCCCACTTGTGGCGCCTTTTTGGAAAGCCCATGAAAAATGCTAAACGATGATCATAAAGTTTTTAGGGTGAAATTGAAAAACTACCCCTTACACGAAAAATTAGGTGGACATTAATGAAAAAAGTGATTTTTTCAGCATAATGAGGCAAATGAGGTATTTTTCAAACCACCCCGACTCCTAGGTGCCTCCCACTCACTTCTAATCTCAAGATAGCGATACCTCACTTGTAACACTTCTTTGGAAAGCTAATTGAAATTGCTAAACGATGGTCATACAGATTTCAACTTCTGTCTTCTTTCAACAATTACTGGTAAGTAGTGATAAGAAATGTAGGTTTGACAATTTGAAAGAAATTTAAAATGATAATTTATTTTAACAATTACTCAAAATGACAGCCGTTTTGTTCCATACAAAAATACAAACGATTTTCAAATTCTTCTCTCACTTTTTGGAAAGTCTCTCTCGGAATATTTCGACATGCTTCAGTTACCCTCTGCCGCAATTCTTGCAACGAACCTGGTTTTGTCTTGTAGACTATGGATTTAGTGTAACCCCACAAGAAAAAGTCTAAAGGAGTGAGATCTGGTGACCTTGTCGGCCACTCGATTGGACCCCTTCTGCCAATCCATTGCCTTGGATAATATCTATCCAACCACCGCCTTGTGACAATAGAATAATGCGGAGGGGCTCCATCTTGCTGAAAATGTATGAGGTCTTCATTAAGAGTTAAATTTCCTTCCAAATCTCTTTGATTTTCAACCTCATTTACAATGGCTGGCTCTATCAAATTGTTCAGCATTTCCACATAAGCATTACCAGTCAAATTTCCGTCCATGAAAAATGGACCTATAATTTTATCGCCTAGTATTCCGCACCAAACATTGAGCTTTTGGGGATGTTGGGTGTGTCCTTCAACAACAATATGCGGATTCTCATCGCTCCAGTATCTGCAGTTTCCCTTCGAATTTCCTCCGTCATTAGTTCACAGAACTGAATCCTTCTATCTGGATCGTCGTCGTCAAGTTCCTGCAGAATCTTCATTTTGTAGGGATGGAATTTGTGCATTTTCAATACTCTCCTGACAGATGTTCGAGGTATATCTGTGATTGATGCCACCTGGCGTGTTGATGCTTCTGGATTGACCAATACCTGACCAATAACTTCCATCTGCATTTCTTCATTCAGTACCCTGGGCCCTGTCCTTGTTTTATTTTTGATCGACCCAGTTTTTTGAAACTTTAAAATCAAATCTCTAACATAAACGTGACTTACGTTTTTGTCCGGATTTCTCTCATTTAAAGCACGGGCCGTTCTCAAATAACACATACCTTCAGCAAAATAAAGAAAAACTATTTGAATTGTTTCTTCCACAGTATAAACCATTTTTCTTTCAAATAAGCGAATCAAATAAACGTTTAAAATACCACCAAATTTGCAAACGATTGAAAATCGATAGAAGACAGTGCAAAAACGCAAAGATATGCCGGTTTAGGATTCCTGTTTGTTGAAAGTAAAAAAATAGATGATAAGGAAGAATTTGCGTTATCGCAAAATTAGGCTGTAAAAACATCTTTGTGATGCCTTTTTTATTATCTACATTTAAAAATGGCATTGATGAAATTAGAAGTGAGAGGATGGCACCTAGGGGTGGGTTGGGGTAGTTTAAAAAATGCCTCATTTAGCTGGATCCCAAATTGTAACTTATGCTGAAAAAATCACTTTTTTCATTAATGTTCACCTATTGTTTCGTGTAGGGTAGTGGGGTAGTTTTTCAATTTCACCCTAAAAATTTTATGATCATCGTTTAGCATTTTTCATGGGCTCTCCAAAAAGGCGCCACAAGTGAGGTGTTGCTATTTAAGATTTTCAAGTGAGTAGGGGTGCCGCCTAAGGGGTAGGTCGGGGTAGTTCAAAAAATACGTCATATGTATTCTCCCTCGATATCATAGAAACGGTATTTTTTATTTTTTTGATATCTTTTTTGGTTTAAAAATTATAGCCATTGTAAGTTTTCAGTGGCCCACCCTGTATAATCTATCTGTCCATGGAATATTGGCACACCCTGTGTAAAACAATCACTAAATTAAACAACAGGCATTAGACATCATTCCAAGACTTTAAAATAACCAGTTTAGGACAAACAATAATCTCAGTTTAGGAGAATCAGTGAGAATTTGAAATCTAAATATTAATTAATATATTCTAAAATACTCATCATCAAATATTTATATTTCAAACGTTTTTTTTTATTAAGTGGAATTGTTTCTAGACGTTTTTCATTTTAATGAAAAATATATAAGGGCTAATTAAATAAAATAAAAAAACAGAGATATATTTCCATAAATAAATATGGCAATAGTTATTTAGGCACTTCACAGCGTTACTGATACGGTAATCAACTAATCAAACAAAAAATTACAAAGAGAGTCAGCATCTAAAGGCCGTCACAGACGTCATTCTTTTTCGGTAGTTTTACCCGTCCGACTAAATTTGTATAGGACGTATGTAAGGTCTAAATTGAACAATGATGTTGCAGAATGTAGAATGTATTGGGGGGGGGGGGTAATCACCGCGATCTTACAGATCTATTGTGTTCCCCTTTCTTGAGTTATAACTCATCCTACAGTCTCAAGGCTTTGACCGAGGCTTTGACAAAAGACAGTATATGGGACGGTTTTACAGAGGTTATTTCTCCATCTTTGATATCAGTCATACCAAAGTTCATGGCACGAATGGTTGTTGTCTCGGCGCACTCTGTGATGATGTGTTCTGGTATTTCCCCATTTTTATATCCCCGTATCCAGCAAGGACAGCAAAACTGGGACAGCCTGTATTATGATAATATTGTCATCCAGTACATTATAAAGTTTGCCTGAGCGTGTAAAACTGTCAAGAAATCTACGTCTATGTGGGCCTTAACTTATCTATCGAAAGAAAAAACAACAATATACCCACTCATTCGTCCTAAAAATCCATAATGACGCTGACGTCGTTTTTCGACGCCTGCGTCGCAACGGTGGATAGCACCGAAACTCTGTATAGAAACGTCATTTAAAGCTGTATGGTAAAGTTAGTTCGTTGTGAGGTATTGTTATAATTATTAATATTCAGGTGGTTAAAATAGCTGACATTCCTGGTGGATAACAGTGTAAGTTATTCAGTTTTATGCTTTCGTTACCTTGGCATAGATGTTTTGTAGAATTATTTAACAAAATTTATAGGGTGTTTAAAGTAAATATATCATATGTTGGTGTTTGATATGATTTCATATGGATTGTAATTGTTTATTATTGTATAATGGGATATAAGTTTAAGAAATTTATAAATATAACTGTGTTATTATAATGATATAATTTTCAACCAATGTGATAAAGTTCATCTTAGGTAGAGTAAAATACTCAACGGTTATAAAAAGATACACGTTAAAAAGATATTTTAATAATTACAGAATAAAAACTAGATATAAACCTATAATTATGTGACAAAAATTAGCTAGATGAAATCAAATGCTCAAAATGCTTCCTTTCCTGTTAACTGCATAAAATAATTGTCTTTCAAAAAGATTTTTTCATTTTAAAAGGCATTATGTGGAGTTCTATGTCGAAAATCAGCTAAAATAAATTCTCTCATGTTGTCGACAATAGTTGGTCGAGTTTTGTAAACACTGTCTTTAACATATCCCCATAAAAAACTCAGACTAGATAAAATCAGGAGCATTTAAGCATTCTATTAATTGGTGAATGCACACTGCATTCACCAACTAATAGAATCATGTCAATTCTCTCTGATATAGGATAAGGAATTTTTTTTGTTTTAACTGACACAAAATGATAACTAGTTGTTACAGTTGGACTAATTAGACAGCTATGTTGAAGTAACGTCAGACATATCACAGCCACCTAGATTTTATCAAAGAATAATGGTCTACTCAGATCAAATCATGTAATGGAAAATCTTTGTTTGAGGGGTAGGCAACCTTAATAGTATTTTAAAGAGACATGACTTCTCCATTGAATATCGGAATAATATACTGGGCGTTTAAAATAAAAGAGTAGCATGCTTTTAAAGGTGACCAATGATCAATATTAATTTTGTCTCACCCTGTATAACTTTTTGGGTCAAGTTTTAATTTGATTTAAAGTACAACAGTTAATTTAACTACATATTAGGCTATACCGGGTAAATTCCAATTTAGGTAGCTTTTATTGTAATTTAAAAATTGTTCTTGATTTCTAAAAAATGATAAATATGTCAAAAACCTTACATTTTAGTCATATAGGTACTTCTCTTATAAAACTCACTTTTATTTTTCTTCCAGAATCTGAAAATCAATTAATATATAGGGTGTTCCATTACAAAAAACACAACTTTGATATGTAACTTTTTTTGGGGACACCCTGTAGAACTCTCTATATTTTTAAAAAGTGATCTGAATTAACCTACATATGCTCACAAAATTTCATTTCAATACAAACTGTGGTTCTCCTTGGGGCCTCCGCGGCGCCGGCGTATGAGAAGCGCCACCCTGTATATAGCTATCTAAACCCATTAATATTTACTGAAACATAGAAAATTAAAAACAGTTCCTTTTCAACATTTTCATACCTTATGTTCTCACGTTTTTTCATAATATTCTTATTTTCACTCAATATTTATTTTTAATTTATATAATGTTCCTCTGTCTCTTTTTTATAGAGTTCCTCACCGACAAGATAGAACTCTCAACCAATCCTGCTGTCAGATATATAGCAGGATAAAACAACTGTTTCATTCCTGTATACTCTTTGAACACGGGGTAGGAAAAAGGAGATAATTGTGCGACTCTTGAAAGAGACCTGAGGGCAAGCGACGTTTCGAAAAATTGCCGCATCATCATTATCATCATCAGGGGTGATTAAAATGAAGGTTTTCGTCGCTCTAGTGCTTTTACAGATTTATCTGTACGAATCTACGGACGGGTTTGAGTTTAAGCATCACGATAATCAGGAATTGTTCCATGTTTTGAGGTAAGAACGATTTTTTAACCATTTTACTATTTTTTGTAATATACAGTGTGAATCTGAAATAAGTGCAAATATTTTCAGGGCTTCTAGATCTCGAAAAAAGAAACATATTTTCTCTTTACCGTTTTTCAAATAAGTAATAAATACTTTAAAAAATATTAAAAAAAATTTTTTTCGTTTAAATTTTAAGAACCGTTGGGTCTTTTCTCGGTTTTCCTGCCATATTATGAAGATATTATGTTTTTTAACTAAAAATTAAAAAAAGATTTTAAAAAATTCAAAATTTTCCAAAAAAAACTTGCGAAAAAAAACTCATAGGCGTGTTTCTGTGATCGAAATATACTACTCCAAAAAATATTTGCACTTATTTAAAACCCACCCTGTATAACCCCATCATTTATATTGTAAGTGGATTTACCGGAATTATAATGTAAAAACCTATTTTGGAATGGGATATGAGGAACAAACATTTTAGAAAATCTTAAAAATAAACTTTTTGTCGATATATCCAAATTTCTCAAAGCACTGTATCAGTTTTAACTGAAATGTTATAAACAATGACATAAAAATTTTAATAAAAAAGTCCAGCGTGCCTTAAAAGTCTCCTTTATTTATTTTCTTAACTTTGAAGTTTTCATATAGCTGGAAAACCTGCAAAGGAAGTTGAAGAGTTTTCTTTGTGTTTCCTTTGTAGATCGTGCGGATATTGTTTTCTATTGTTTGTATTTTCACTCGTGTCAAGCTTTTTGTTGTAAATCTTTTTTTGCTTTGCTTATTTCTACAGAAGAATTTATATTTTATATCTATGTAACCATATTTCAGAACGTTTTAAAATGAAGTATACAGATCGAAAAAGTTTAAATAGATAATATACATAGACTTAATACTTTTTATATTTTTAAGGCTCTGATAATGTTAAAAGTAATGTTTAAAGTATGTTATTAAGTAACATAATGTTTATGTTTTTGTAATACCATTACATACTTACTGAAAGCATTTTTGAATTAAAAAAATTGGAATGTTAATTAATGTTTCATCCCTCCTCGAACTCAGCGAAAAGAAAAAGTAAAAAGATATTGAAGTACCTAAGCGTTCTCCTTATGAGTGTATTATTAGCTTGTTACCATTATTTATTGAACTTATTTTTAGAGATGTCAATACGAAATGCAGAAATATTACCAGGGTATACGCATTGAACGAACCATCAGTTTTGGGAATACCCCTGTATGTCATCGAGTTTTCAACGAGGCCAGGAAGACATGAAACATGTGAGTTATATCATATCCCTTATATCATTATATACAAGTAAACAAATATAAATGAATAAAAGCGAAATATAATCCAGGAACACAACAAATTTAATTTTTTTTAATTAATTTAATGTTTTTATTCAAAAGAACTATCAAACATTTAAAAAAGCAATTGCTTTCGAAATTTTACACATTCCTTTGCACTCTAAAGACTGTCCAGCGAGTCAGAATACAATTTTTCTGTGACATAAAATGATACACAGAACTGTCGCTAGGATGTATGCTCTCGTTGGGAGGACTATACAGAAAGGTCCACAGACTTCGAGACATAGGAAAAATCAAGTCCATTTAGCGTGTGTCGCAATTTTCACACCTTAAAAAATTTGTTTTTTATAGCTATAGCAACTGCAGCGACTATGAAAAAAGCTGTGTGGTTTTCATAGAAAATTACCCTGTACTCCATTTGAGGGGCACCTGTAATCCATTTGAGAATGTTATAAATCGCTAAAAGAGGTTTCAAATCTCTTGGATTTCTATTAATATTAAATAAATTTTATTAAAAATTGAACTAAAATTGTTAGTATCATTAAAAACAATTCAAATTCAAAAATTGTATCAGTCAAATTCCCCCATTTAAGGTGAATATTAAAGTAAATACTTATTAAAGTACTACTTATCTTTAAGAAAAATTTAAATCATTGGTGCAATTGGGCCTTAATGCCATTTCGAATGAATAATAGTATTAATTAGTAGTGGGAACTATCGAATGAATACTATCGAAACATTCGATAGTTGCAATTCATTCTAATAATTCGATAGTTAGTAAGAAAACATTCGTTGAAAACTATTCGAATAAAAATTATCGAATAGATCCGTCATCTGCCTTGAAATATTGTATTCTAGTAATTCGGCAGCAAAAACCATTCATTTATAAAATTCATTCATTTATGAAATTCATTTATTCGTCAGGATCGATTATAATAAAATATTAACTGAATTTTAGTTGTCGCCCGGCGACGTAGGTTTCTTTCCGAGAAACCCGACAGCGGTCGGTGGCAATGCTATGAAAGAAGCCGGCATCTTTGATTTTTTGCGGAGTCAGATATAGATAAGGACACATTATTGTTTTTATTAGGGTGCTAGTATTTACACAGAAAATACATTATGAAGGGCGCTGTTGCCATATTTTGGTATTAGTTGATATTAGCAAAGAATATTATTGTTTGGCTTTAGTTAGTTAGGGATAGTATGTCTATATATTCTGCTTTTTTTTATTAATATTCTGTTGTTACACTGCAATAATACTTGTTATTTTGGATGTAGGAAAATGATTTTTAATGTTTTTAAGCAAAGACTGGTTTAATAAATAATAATAATTACAGAACTAATTTGTTATATTAACAACAAATTTTAAAATCATGAAATATAAACATTTATTAATTTTCTAAGCATGCAGGGTAATGGAAGGAAAATATAAATAAAAAATTATAAATCAAAATTATTTATATTAGGTGCTTTATATTACTATTTAAAAATTATATTTACTTTTACTGGCATTTACTTTAAAAAATAAATTAAATATTTCTTCGCAAAAAACTACATGTAAGAGAATTAGCATAAACAAAATACAAACATCGTTAACTTTTTTTTTTAAATTGGCACGTGTAAAACTTTCATTTTAATTTTCTCACCCCATAGTTTGAGTTCGATAACCATTTACTTAACCACATTACTTAAATATGATTATTAAGTTCAACTAATTCATATTATTAAAACATCTAAAATACAAATATGTATTTTTAAAATTAATTGTAAGTTCATCTCATCTCTCTTAAAAATTGCTACTTCTCAAAATTTCCCATTAAAATAGACCATATACCATATAAAATTAAATAATTGAAAGATCGGGCTACGGAAAACCACACAAATTTTCGGAAAAATTTTGACCACCAGCACATGCACACAATCGTCAATAAATAAAATTAAAAAATAACTACTATTTTAGTATTTTAACTATTTTAATAAACGCAAAAATAGCACAGTATTTATACGGCGAAGTTATAAAAATTCGGAAGAACTAATAATGCACTGACGCATACAAAAATCAAACGAATACTAAATTTCATTTATCAAAAGCATTCGATAGGTAGTCGTGGCTCAACGATAACCATTTAGTCGCACGGCGAGGTTGTCACATATGCTTTAGTATACAAATGAATGAATGATTTTATTCGAATAAAACCATTCGATAGTTGAAATCATTCATTCATTAACCATTCGATAGTCTAATTCATTCGATAGTTCCCATCGCTACTGAAAAGGACCTTTGTTTTCCCATGTTCGTCAAGGTAGGTAATGGGTAAACGGTAAAAAAACAGGATAATGAAATTTAAGAAATTTCAAAAATTGTTCAAAAATGCCTCCCTCTTGCATTAAACAATAACCCAAACGATCATAAAATCCTCTCCTCACATTGGATAACATATCATAGGTGACAGTGTCAAAGGCATTAAATATTTTCTGCCTTAACTGCTCCAAGTTTTGAATTTCTTCATGGCCGTAAATTTAAGATTTTATGTACCCTCATAAAAAGAAATCATTCACCGAGAGGTCAGGTATATATCCATAGCTATAGTGATATTAATATATTACAAATATTAGGTTTATTTAGAAAATATTTTCATTTATAATGACAAAATGGATCAATAAGTTTATTTACATCTTGATATAATAATAATGAAAGCTACTTACGTCAAGCTGAATTACATTTAGTATTTTAATATCTATAATATGTATTATAGAATCAATATATTATTGGAATAAGTTCAAATAAATAATGCTTAACGTGTGACCCACTAAATAAGTTAATGTATCGCTTTTGGAAATAATAATTTTTTAAAGCAAACATTTTTTTTAAAGAAACTAGGTTTATAGAATGTAAATATTAGACTCTTGATTAATATTAATTTCGTACATCGATTTTCAGTAAAACCGGAATTCAAATATATCGCAAATATGCACGGAAACGAGGTTCTGGGCAGGGAATTGCTTCTGAAATTGGCGGATTACTTGTGCGAAAGTTATTTAAACGGGAACCCGGAAATTAAGGCCCTTATAAAATCGACCAGGATCCATCTGATGCCCAGTATGAATCCGGACGGATGGCAACTGGCCACAGACACGGTAAGCAATATTGAGAAAAATAGATTTAGATAAATAATAATTTGAGTATATTAATAATAAGAATTGAGTAAATCAATAAGGAGGTAAATATTGTGGCGCATTGTATGCCAACAAAAAATACTTGCCAAGTAGGTACACGAGTCGTGAGAACGCGCCATTATATTGAAATCTTTTGTTTTGTTAAGGCGCATTCTCACCACTCGTGTACTTGGCAAGTATTTTTTATTGGTCTACAGGGTTTGGCAGGAGTGCGGCGTAGCTCCTATAATAAATAACTTAGAAATTCTGTATAGATGCCCAACCTACCGTGTATACCCTGTATACCAATTATAAATGTTTGTCAAGTACACGAATCGTTAGCATGCGCCTTTAGTTTTGTTATATTTTTTACAAATTTGAGTTAAGGCGCGTTTTCACAAGGTTTTCACGAGTTAAGTGAACTCAAGCCCCGTTCTCAGAACTTCGTAGTGTTGCCAGCGACATGTCAAAAGAACCTACGATATTTGTACAAAATTCAAACAGCTGTCAATTTTAAATTTACTTGTGATTATCTTCTATCCCTTGGTGGGCAGGACTAGGACTGGAAAAACATTCTAGTGATAACCCATATACACCTGGTGAATATGTCGACACTTTTTTAGCTTTAAAATATGTCCCATTTATAGTAATTTTTATCCTCAAAATTTCACTAGAAACGTTAAAAGTGCTTGTGGAAGAAAATTATAATAAATAAAAAAACTATTAAGACTGTAACACCCTGTATCTATGAAACAAAGCCGAATCGGACCTAAATTGATATGAAAAATAAATGTTATTTTTACGTGAGGAGTCTCCCCACGAGAGATGTCACCCGTTTTTTGAAACACCCTGTATAAAAACTGCTATAATACGTCTTTATAAACGAATTTTGTCGAAACGAGAATATTTAATCGAGGTCCGCAGACCAAACCAAGGTGCATGGGAGGGGGGTATTGAATAAAAGTCTGGCCAACTGAATATAAAGTCATTCATATGATAATTTATTCATATCGAAGCACTGATTTTAACTAAGATAAAATATGACTTTGCCTAATGTGTCTTTGACTATTTCAGGGTGGACAAGACTATCTGATTGGACGTACCAATAACAATTCCATCGATCTCAACAGGAATTTTCCCGATTTGGATAGGATCGTGTTCGAGAATGAAGAGGAGAATGCGGTGAAGAACAACCATCTGCTGGAACAAGTCACAAGAATTAATGATCCAGTAATTAGCATTATTATTCTTTAATTAAATTCATTAGAAATATAATAAATTCAAAAATTAATTTTAAATAATTTAAAAACTATTGGCTGTACTCAAACTCTACGATCTACAAATTTTAAATACTCCACTGTTATAGTTTACAATCTCGGAATTCTAGTGACCGTTCTTGAATTTGGGATTCCCTGTAGTTCTTCGCTTTATAGTTATCGATTATCTAAATCACCCAGATGTCAGTAATGTATTGAAATTATTTTTTTTAGCTACAGCCTGAGACTCGTTCAGTTATTAGGCTGATAATGCAGATTCCTTTTGTTTTGTCAGCCAATATGCACGGTGGAGATCTTGTAGCAAATTATCCCTATGATGAAAGCAGGACTGGAAGTCAAAAAGATGAATACACAGCCACACCTGATGACGAAACTTTCAGGTAACAAAAGATATTAAAAAGAAACACTACAGAATTTAAATTATTTCTATACAAAAATCTACATTTTTCCCTTCTATTAGTGTCCATCCATTTTGGATGTTAGCTAAGCTATAGTAGAATCCACGAGAGATTCCCTTCTTTTGACATTTGATATTATGTATGAAGTATATGACAATCTTATGGCAACACTATAGTCTAAGAGCTAGCAACGTTTTCGAGAAAGTATTTTAAGACGTCTGGCTCTTTGATACCTATATCTTTTATTATGCTCTCTGGAACAGCGTGCAGGCCGTCTGGCTGCCGATACACGTTGCGTTTACTACTGCGCATCCAAAGAAGATCCTCTATTTTTTACTTAGCGGTTTAAATTCTAGTATTGAATAAAAACCGAGCAAGTCTCCATTAGCCCGGCGCGTAGAGCTTTTGCCTATGAAGCGAAGGTCAGTGGTTCGATTCCGGCTGGGGTTGCAACTTTTTTATTTATTTTTTTCGTTTATATTCTGATAGTAAAGTATTAAATATTGTTTTTTTTATCACCAGAAAGGATAGCGTTTATGGGTTTATGATCCGTAGTGTATATAAGTAGAATTTGATACTTTCATTTGTTTTGAAGGATTATTGTGGTAATTAATTATTAGATAGGTTTAGGATAGTCTGGCTGCCGCGCCGGTAGGTGGCGTTCACTACTGCGCATCACATGGGTACAGGGTGTCTCATTTTCGTGCGTTTTTTGGGATTTGGGATATCTGGGACTTCTCGTTTATGAGTGGAGATACAATGATGCGTTTTTTTTCACATTACTTTGCTAGTTTTTTATGTAACTAAATATTTTATCCCTAGATTTGTGCATTTTCTACACATTAACATTAATCAATCTTGTTTAGAAAGTATTATTATTTTATTTAATTTAATTTAACCAGATAATTTTGTTTTCCATCGTTATCTTAACAAACTTAACTGAAAATAAACTTGTGTAGCTTTTAGATAACAATCTGTTAAAAAGAGTATTATTAAAATGATTATTAAAATAATAAACAACAGCTGAAAAAAATATTTTGAAGAAAGACAGACAGAAATTACCTTCATAAAGCATTAAAATGTTAATTTTTATATATTATGTTTAAATCTTTAAAATGAAATTATAAACGAGAAATCCCAAAAAACGCACAAAAATGGGACACCCTGTAAACCTACTGGCGCGGCAGCCGGACCATTCTAAACCTGTCTAATAATTAATTACCACAATAATCCTTTAAAACAAATGAAAGTATCAAATTCTACTTATACCCACTACGGATCATAAACCCATAAGCGCCATCCGTTTTGGTGATAAAAAAGCAAATATTTAATACTTTACTATCAGAATATAAACGAAAAAAAAAATAAAAAAGTTGCACCCCCAGCCGGTATCGAACCACTGACCTTCGCGTCATAGGCGAAAGCTCTACGCGCCGAGCTAGTGGAGACTTAGCTAGATTTTTATTCAATACTACAATTTAAAGCGCTAAGTAAAAAATAGAGGATTTTCTTTGGATGCGCAGTAGTAAACACAACGGGTATCGGCAGCCAGACGGGCCGCATGCTGTTCCAGAGAGCATAATAAAAGATATATGAAAGAGCCAGACGTCTTAAAATACTTGTTTTCCCGACGTTGCTAGCTCTCGTACTACTAGAACATAAACAATACCTAGGCAGTAGACTTAAGTGTGATATTATATCGTGGAGATTGCATTGCTGGCGGGTTTTATACAGGGTGAGTCTGAAATAAGAGGAAATATTTTTAGGAAGTAGTATAATTCGCCGCCAAAATCATGTCTATGAATTTTTTTAATAAATTTTTGGATTTTTAATTTTTAGTTAAAAAACATAGTCTTGGCAACATATACTAGATTCAATTTACAAGAAAGAAAATCTAGAAAAGATCCAGTGGTTCTAAAAATTTAAGCAAAACATATTTTTAAAATTTTCAAAGTAAAATAACTCGGTTATTTTGGACTTGAAAAACGGTAAAGAAAAAATATGTTTCTTTAATCGATATCTACCAGCCCTGTAAATATTTGCACTTATTTAAGACTCACTCTGTATATTTAGATAGTTTTCTACTTGTTGGGTTTATATTTTTTGTCGGTAGCATTTTTATGATAACTGTTAGATTATATTTTCCTGTTCTCATATTATCACATAAGATTTTCTGCTATACAGGGTTGTTCACCACATACGACACGGAGTATTGTAGCTAAACGATGAGATTTTTACAAATTGTAAGTTTTGTGTTCGATGAAGGACTATTAGAGGTACAATTTAAAAATAATTTTACAAGATACAGAGTGTCCCAAATAAGTAAAAAATATCAAAGTTGTATTTTTTTAAAGTAGATTATAAAAACATCCTGTTTATTAGATTATAAAAACATCCTGTATATTGTTACATTTTTAGTTTCTACGATTAAAATAAAGGTAAATTTGATTAAGGTTTATTATACTTAAATCTTACCGTTTTTGAAATATTTTCAAATTTGTGAAATTGCAGTAAAAAATTTAAGGCTTCATTTCTCCAAGGGTATGAAAGTTTTTAATACTAAATATTTACTGAAGTTTATTTACTGATCAGTTATTGTGTTGCAATAATAAAAATAATACTACCTTATACAGAGTGTCTAAAAATTTATTTTAAATAATTATTAGCTTCAAACGGCAATAACTTGTTTAATTTAAATAGAACACCCTGTATATTTTACGAGAATCAGATGCACAATTTAATTGTCTGTCAAATTATATTATATCATTTTTTACCTATCTCTTTAAGTTTCCGTAGAAAATGCATTTTCTTGTAATTTAGAACTTATTTATCAATATACCCATGGACTATTGACATTTTAGATTATTTTTAAAGATGTACCAAATTTTTAAAGAGTACAGATACTAATATTGTCGATATAATTCGTTTATTTCATTAAAAATAAAAAAAAAACTGTTTAAATATTTGTTAAAGAGGATCAATTAATATGATTCCAGTATTCAAACTACATTAACTGACTGTTTGCGTTGATTAATAATAATTGCTCCAAATACTAAAAAACTGAATTTTGTATGGGCATTAGACAGTGTGATAAAAAGTAACACCTTAAAAATGATATTTCATTTTTTAATAAAATGCTTATTTATAACAACAGAGTTATAACTTATTATTATATTGATTTCTGACTCAAATCCACATTTATTTATAATAATTTATTAACGAACGCAATTAAGTATGTAATTAATTAGTATATGGGCGGAAATAATGGTGTTATATTTAATTAATGGTATACTCTTTTATAAAGATTTAAATAGTTCTCTTTTTGCATACAAATGGGCTAGTAATATTATCATTTTGCTAAAAACGATAATATTACTAGTCTGTACATTTTGTACATTTGTTGCTTTAAAAACAATCTAAAATGTCAATATTCCATGGATATATTGATAAATGAGGTCTAAATTATAAGAAAATGCATTTTCTACGAAAACTTGAAGGGATAGGTAAAAATGGTATAATACAATTTGATAGACAATTTAATTGTGCATCTGATTCTCCTAAAATATACAGGGCATTTCATTTAAATTAAAGAAGTTATTGCCGTTTGAAGCTAATAATTATTTAAAATACATTTTTAGACACTCTGTATAAGGTAGTATTATTTTTATTATTGCAACACAATAACTGATCAGTAAATAAACTTCAGTAAATATTTAGTATTAAAAACTTTCATACCCTTGGAGAAATGAAGCCTTAAATTTTTTACTGCAATTTCACAAAATTGAAAATATTTCAAAAACGGTAAAGTTTAAGTATAATAAACCTTAATCAAATTTACCTTTATTTTAATCGTAGAAACTAAAAATGTAATAATATACCGGGTGTTCCATTTAAAAAAATACAACTTTGATATTTTTTATTTATTTGGGACACTCTGTATCTTGTAAAAATATTTTTAAATTGTAGCTCTAATAGTCCTTTAACGAACCCCAAACTTACAATTTGTAAAAATCTCATCGTTTAGCTACAATACTCCGTGTCGTATGTGGTGAACAACCCTGTATACTCTGAAAAAAACATGGTTGTTTTGTAGATATCTAGCACTGGCATATTCCAGTAATCATGCCGATATGGCCAATCCAAAACGAGGAGGATGCGGTGACGTCGACAGTTCCAAGTTTGCCAAACAGGGAGGCATTACAAATGGTGCAAAATGGTACAGCCTTCAAGGAGGTGAGTTCTATTCGAGTTCTAACATTTAGGTTTCTGTTACTATAATTTAGTATTCTATACTGTTTTGTATATTTTTTTTCAATAAATTTATTTATGTAATTAGCTTTCGGGAATAAAGACTTGTAATATTACATAATATTAAAAAATAAATTTAAGATATTTTGAGACGGTTTATTTTTTTAAAGGAATGCAAGATTTCAACTATCTTTCCAGCAACGACTTTGAAATTACTTTAGAACTGGGGTGCAACAAATATCCGCCAGCGAGCGTTTTGGAAAAAGAATGGGAACGTAATAGGAAAGCTATTATTGCTTATATGTGGCAAGTGAGTATCATTTCTAAAATGCGACTTTGTATATTTTGATGTATAGATTTTCTTATTTACAATTTGTCAAACTACAGACAAAACTTTTATTTCTAAATACGTAATACCTGGAACTGTTATTAGAGAACAACGGCATACGGTCGAATCGGCCGCTGCTGGCACGTATACGTAGACGTACAGAATCTTTTACGTGTATAAAAAATAAAAAATATAAGAAATGCACATGCGTACGTAAACGTTTACGTGTTTGTAGGCCGACTCGACCGTATGCCGCTGTTCTCTATTGATATTTAAAAATTACAGTTTAAAAATATTACAGCTCTCTGTTATATGTTGTTCTGGGCGATTCCGATATTACATGGCATGCATCAGTAGCTGTGTTGATATTACATGGCATGGATCAGTAGCAGGGCATTGTTATTTTAATATAACTGCTAATTTTAAGAACTAACAACTATTGCAAATTGTTAGGTACTTCTGAATAACAGTTTTAAAATATAAGATTATTTGTATCATACACTTAATTATTATTATAATTGCTCCATTTTTATGATAATAATCTCTTATACAGTCAAAAAATTAATAGATAGAGAGCTAAATTATCAGAAAAAGAACCAATGTACAGGGTGTCCCATTTTCATGTGTTTTACAGGGTTTCTCCTTTACGAGTAGAGATAGAAAGATGCGGTTTTCACATCACTGTGCTACTTCTTTATAAAATTAAAGATGCTACACCATGGGCGCCGGAAGAATGAAATTTAGGGGGGGGCAAGGTAAAAATGAATAAAAAATTGACATTTTTGGTAATTATTGGGAAAACTGGAAATCGTCCGATTTTCACCAAAATTGGTATACACCCTATTTTGAAGTCGTAGATTACGAATCTGAACTTTTTTCTTGGCGGTCTCTTACCGTTTTTCAGAAAAACGGAAAATAATTTCAATATCGAATTTTTCTTAATTTCTCATATTTTTAAGGTTTTCTAGCACATATTTTGTTAGGTATTCAATAATCAATAATGTTTTTGCTATTTTCTGTTACTTTTTAACCAATTCTATGCATAATAGAGAAAATTTGCTAAAATAAATTTGTAAACAATCTGAAAATGTTAGATTATAGCTTTGTTCGGGTTCTTGTTATTACCGATTCTGAACCGTCCAAGAACTCTGCAGCGCATGCGCAAATGAAATAATGTCTTCATATTTCCTTCTGCGCATACGCATCACAGTTCTAGGACGGTTCAGAATCGGTAATAAGAGAAACCCGAAGTAAGTTTATGTGTTTCTGGCATTTAAAGCAACGTTGCCAATGCTAAACCTAAATTTAGCGTGTTTTTTTCGCTCATTCTGGAATTACGAAAGGCGGTCGCCAGAAGAACGGCTCCTTCCCATAACTGCTATTTTACCAACGAGATCTGACTATTTATACCCACGAAGTTGCACGAAAGAGTTTTGATTGCATTGGTTACAACTTCCATGCAGAGGGTGTTAATCTTTTGTTGTTATATTATTAGATTAACTAAAAAAAGATTAACCCCCTCCGCAAAGAAGTTAAAACCAATGCAATCAAAACTCTTCCGCGTAATTTTGTGGATATAGGTGTATATTTAATTATTGTCGATCTCATAATAGGTAATTTATTTAAAATCCCTAATCACCCGAAAAAATAGAAGATATGGCAACGTTGTAAATTTTCAAATTTCTAGATTAGGTCTAGAATATATTTGTCTCTCTTATTACATAGGAGAGAGAAAGAAGGATATATCAAATGTCAAACTTCCATCTGGTCTCAATTTTCTTTGCTATTTTGTTAAGAAAAGTGTTTTTCAGTAAAATGTTGGACACTTTTCTATCCCCAATCAAGTGTGGCTTTTAGATAAACTATAATATAATAAAAATATAGTGAAATTATTACTTTTTAGGGCCGAAATAAAGAAAAATTCAATGTTGAAATAATTTTCCGTTTTTCTGAAAAACGGTAAGAGACCGCCAAGAAAAAAATAGATTCGTAATCTACGATCTCAAAATAGTGTGTATACCAATTTTGGTGAAAATCGGACGATTTCCAGTTTTCCCAACAATTACCACATTTATTATTATTTTACAGGTAACACCTAACAATTTCATAATAATGATTATTTTTTTTACAGATGGATGTAAGAAGATAGCTTTTATTTTTATTGTTTCAGTGATCCAGGGGGGGGGGGGGCAAATGCCCCCTCTTGCCCCCCCTGTCCGGCGCCCATGTGCTACACACAAATTGTACCTAGCCCTCTTAGTTCCTGAAATACAGGGCGAATTTTAAAATGTTGCACTTTTCTACAATTTTCGTATTTTATAATTTAACGAAAACTTGTTTTATAACTTAACGAAATGGTGAGAACTGTAGAGTTTTTCACGTAGAATTCAGTGGCGTTACCACGGTTACTACTATAAGATAAGTTATAAGATTAGGTTCATAAAAACCTAGCACAGCAATGTGAAAACCGCATCTTTGTATCTCTACTAACAAACGGGAACACCTGTAAAACACATGAAAATGGGACACTCTGTATACAACTATTTAAAAAATATAGGTACTAATCATGTTCGATAATTTATTATTATTTGATAGGTTCATATTGGAATTAAGGGTATAATATACGATTCCGAGACCAAACAACCCATTAGTGGAGCAACAATCCATGTCAAAAATATCACTTCTGGTCTGTCTAATGATATTCATCACGATGTCACATCAGGTAAAATAAAACACCTATAATAACTTTTCGACTTAGCTTGTTTTTTCGTTCGTCAGAAATAAAGTGAACAATATAGATCTCTTAAAAACACTTCTAACACTTAATATTATTATTTTTAGTGTATGGAGGTGATTATTATCGACTGCTCACCCCAGGAACATATAAAGTGACTGCTTTCAAAGAGGGATATCTGCCGCACAGTAAGTTAGTTACTGTAACCAATCCAAGCTACACTGAAGCACAACAGGTTGATTTCGCCCTCAAACCTCTCCCAGTAAGTATCAGTATAAAATATTAAAGAAAATTATTGGAAAATTTGAAAATAGAAACAATTTGTATTTGCACATTTGAAAAAATATATCAAAATTTATGTTCTAGAAACTTACTTTCAGTAGGCACTTCATATTTTTTATATACTTTTATTTATTTTAATCATTTATGTATTTCAGAGACCACACAAACATAAGTACGTATAGTATATATTTTCGTGCACTTTAAAGGTATTTGGCAGCACTATAAAAAGTACTAATTGAAAATAGTTAAATCTCCTAAGTAGTACGCTATGTTAAATAACATCACATAATTTAAAATAGGTACAAATAATAGTACTTAATTTTTTTGTAATACGTGCCTACTAACAAAATCGTGTTATGGGAACCACAGCCTATTCATACTCAGCCTGTCGATCATTTGCATGGAAATCTGCTTAGCAAGATATTCATATATCTTGCATTATGAAACAAGTCAGGTTTTGAGCCATATTGATATTTCGTTAAAAAAAACGACCGAGATTAGCGCTCCAACTGCTGACATAATATGTGCGTGAACATGTGCGACAGGTGAAAGAAAATGCTCAACAACAAACGAAAATTACTAATATTCTGGAACCCCATAAAGCAAACGACTGTGATAACACAAAAATTCAAATTCTTGTAACTTTTCTGTATGATTCAGATTCGTTAATGCTGTATAAAAATAAGACTTTTAATTTTAATGTGTATTACCCTTGTTTATTACCTTATACCTGGTCATGACCAGCTGGTAGCGAATAAGCTGTGGTTGGAACGCTATTAACTGGGATAACAAGAGATAAAAATTCTTGTATGTTGTGTATGACTGACAGTCGACACTATGATTTATGATCAATGCCTACCTAACAATTTATGCTATATAAAACTCCAGAAAGTGTAATAGCATTAAATGCTGTTATAAAAAAAGAATTAATGCTGTTACACTTCTTTTTATCTTACCTAGCACTCATCCTTGTTGTATGCTCGTTTAATATCCATCCTTTTTCTATAATAATAATAATCTTTAAAATTAACAAAATATTCCTCAACTTGTATGTAATATATAGTGTGACATCTACTGTTCAAAAAATCTTCATATCATATATGGAGCATCATATATTTTTATATATTTTTTACAAAATATGAGAACAATATCGTACTCGATATACCTTTAGATTCTAAAATACTGTATTATAATTATTACCGAGTAGTTTGTGAAATATGAATGATCATCTTTAGAATAAAATTTCTACATTGCTAAGCACTGGAAAAAGTCGTTAAGCTTTTAAAAAATTTAAATCCTTTATTATGCTTTTTAACTGATACAGTACACATAATATAGTGTCTTTTCATCTAAAAATTACGAGTTAAAAATACAAAAAGAGTAGTAAAATAAATTTAAATAAAGACTCAACCGTTTTAAATAATACGTAATTTTAAGAAAGCGATTTATTTTTATTTTAATCAATGGATTAAACCAAAAGACAATTTTAGAAATTTAAAATGCAATTTATTCTAAAATATAAATAAAATAATAATATTTGTGATGAACAAATAATAATTTACTAGAGAAAGAGGATGCTTAACAAATCATTATTATTTTTATTCATCAATATTTGTAGAGGAACACCAAAATTCCTGGTTTTTCTACTTTCAATTTATTTTGGCAAATTGAAATAAACAAGTTCAAATATACAAAAAACTCTTTACTGTGTGTTATCTATGTATATACTTAGCTATTGATGCTAAAATATACAGGGTGGCCCATCGAAAACGTTCCGCAAGGCATAACGGCCAGGGTAATTTTTTTTCCAGAAAATTCAAAAACACGTCAATTTTGTTTGTGAGGTGGACAACTTTTGACCCAAAAATGATTGCAAAATCTTCAACTCTCTAAGCGGGTTGTCATCCCACAACTTTTTTCAAATGGGAAGGGGGGTCAAAAGTGGTACCGCAATGAAAAGGACTTTTTATTCTCTATACTTTCCCGCTTCGTTTTTGAAAATCGGTCTAGTCATTGAGAAAATATGAAGGATTGAAATTTGAAAAGTTTATTTAAACATTTACCAGAGTAAATGATAAGGATAAATTCCTTTGACCAATTTGCTGTTTTTTCTTATTATTTCTAGATGTTTACGCATTTTTTCACTTGCCACAAGGTTGAACAAGGGTTGAACGATCAGGTGCGGCAGTTGCTAGATAGCTGTTCTGTGACTTGTGCGTTGAAGTTTTTTTTAGTTTTTTGAAGACCGATTTTCAAAAATGAAACGGGAAAGTATAGAGAATAAAAAGCCCTTTTCATTGCGGTACCACTTGACCCCCCTTCCCATTTGAAAAAAGTTGGGGGATGACACCCCCCCTTAGAGGGTTGAAGATTTTGCAATCATTTTTGGGGCAAAAGTTGTCCCCCTCACAAACAAAATTGACGTGTTTTTGGATTTTTTGAAAAAAAAAATATCCTGGCCGTTATGCCTTGCGGAACGTTTTCGATGGGCCGCCCTGTATATGTATCGACTGTATGCTATCATTGAACACATTTTTTATAAATATGTAATATGTTTAAATTTCTGACAAAAATTTATTGTGTTTTGAATAGTGGGCCACACTGTATAGAAACCCATAATGTATCAAAAAGAATGTAAATTGTATTCTTATTTTCTTTTAAGATTTCACCATTCATCCAATCTGATAATTATATCGAATCGAAGATCGATGACCGCTACGGATCCAGGAACCAAGATTGGGCGGCTTGGGCAGAAGAAAGGGAACCCATCCTAGAACCAATCGCAATAGCGTAAATTCAATAAAAGAACGTCTTCGAAAACTACCTGAGGAAAACATAAAACGGCCAATCATTTCTATTCCTTCCTCCTTCTAAGTTTACATTCTTCCCAATCTTTAAAAGCAAGGACTTAATCAAATAACATGTGATTTTCCGATTAGTAGAATTGCTAAATTAAAGCAACGCTCTTCTTATTCTATCACACAGTAGCTTTGTTCGGGTTCTTGTTATTACCGATCCTGAACCGTCCTAGAACTCGGCAGCGCATGCGCAAATGAAATAATGTCTTCATATTTCCTTCTGCGCATACGCATCACAGTTCTAGGACGGTTCAGAATCGGTAATAAGAGAAACCCGAAGTAAGCTAGTATCTTTATTTCCGAAAAAATAGAATAGACTGCGCATAATCGAATTTAAATACATATAAAATAGATGTTTAGAATACAGTAAGAGAGTATATAATCATAAACAAGAATCTTCGTACCTATGGAACCCTGCATAGTAAAATTGTTATTGAGGATGAACTACAGTCTGTCTTAAGTTACATTTGAAATAGCGAAACTTAGATTTTAATTATTTATTGTTATTCGATGATAAAAGACAATGATGTAACCATATCCAAATAAAGAATGATGTTTAATTACAGCCAGTTGTTTTATTTTATTATAATTTTAAGGAATATACACGTATAATAATTATATTCAGTTAATTTTTAAAAATTTAGGCCAATAATAGAAAGACATAAATAAAATATATATATCAAAGGAAAAATACGACAGTGACAGTTATAATCTGTCATTACAATGTGCTCCAACTTTTTGTAAAACAATTTGTACCTTCTACAGTATGTCCCCTGATAGTCTTTGCAAGAGGGAAAACTTTATTATTTATATTTTGAGAAATATGCATTCTTCATAAACATTTTTGCTTGTTCTAAGATGGTTAATCCCGTTTATACTTTTCCAAATTTCCATACCGTTTTAGAGAAAATTAAAGAAAATATGAAATTATGGTTGAATTTTTTCTAAGTTCTAAAAATCAAAACGCGTTTCTACGGTAATATAATTTCGTTTTCATTACTTGATAGATTTTATTAATAGAATTTTAATTAACGTCATATTTTTGCTGTTTTAAAATATTAAAGAAGCACTAAATTTATTTAGTTCAATGCTACGCAAAGGGGTTATCGGAAAATTGATTCTTTAACAGCAAAGAATATGATGTTAATTAAAATTAATAATAACCATCTATCAAAGAATAAAATCTAAATTATATTACCACAGAAACGACTTTTGATTTTTAGAACTTCAATCATAATTTCATGTTTCTCTAATTTTCTTTAAACGGTATGGAAATTTGGAAAAGTATAAACGGGATTAACCATTTTAGAACAAGCGAAATTTTTTTTTGAAGAATGCATTTTTCTCAAAATGTCAATAATAAGAATGTTTTTCCTATTGAAAATACAATCCGGGGATATACTGTATAATATTTTTCAACTTATGTCCAATGAACTTTTTTTCATTTTGATTCCAAAAATACGTAGTAGTTCTTTGTCCACGGAATATTGAGACACCCTATGTTTATTACTACTATCAATAACATACGCAGAAAGAAGTACAGTTAAGTACACTTATACATTTTTTATATCCAGTATTATTTTCATATCATTATCTATATATTTCAGCATCTTTTATATATATTAAAGTTTTGTTTTAGTAAACTTAATAAATCTACATATTTAAAAATGCTCATTCCTTGACCTTGGTAATTTAATTTTTAGTTTTATAGTCTGGTTATCTATAGATTTCTTTAAAATCAAAGGTCAGTCATGCTTTCTTTTCTCAGAATACTTTGACGAAGAACTCTTGTTGCTGCTGCTGCTACTCTTGCTGCTTGAAGACTTTTTATCATCAGATCTAACATTTTAATATAAAAGTAAAAATAATTATAAATAATAAAATATCAGTATTTATCAAAAAACATTACCTAGACGAAGAATGACTTGGAGATGCATTACTTGATTTTGATCCACTTGAAGATTTGGAACTCGATTTATATTTATCGCTATAAAAAATTATTTTTTTTATTTACCCTCCGTCATAATAAGCTTAAAAATGTACCTTGATGACTTATGCGAGGAACTGCTACCATGTTTATGACTACTACTGGAACTACTTCCTGATTTTGAACTAGAAGAACTCTTAGACACATGCTCCTTTTCAGATGTTTTAAGCTTCTTTGAACTAAGAAAACCAAAAAAAGATAAATACTTTCAATTCTCCTTAGAACAACTACATACCTAATAATACTTTTACAGTTTGAACATGTCCAAGTATCCAACATTTCTTCATCGGCAACAGCGGGTCTGTGACATTCCTGGTGATAGAGCGCATGACAGTCACTGCATTCCAACAGTCTGTTACGAGCTCCAACATCCATCTTGTTACAAATCACACACATAAGGTCATCATTAAATAAGTCTAACTCTAAGTCATTATCAGAACCATTGCCTAAAAAAATTCTTTTTGATTTGTAGACATTCTCGTATTCTATATAAATGCTACAAAGTGTTTATTTATACATAGAAAAATTCTTATGACAATATAATAGCAAAAAAACTTTTATAAACTGATTTAACACATACCTTTGTCACCAAAAATACTTGCTGGTGCACTAGTCTCTTCGGGTTCTCTTGATGGAAGTTGACTTTGGAAAAAATCAGTATAGTCTTTCACTACCCCATACTTTTGATATATAGCTTCTTCTAGGACATATTGTAGTGGTACAGGATCCCCTTTTTTCAGTTTGCGGCTTTCGTACATTAGGCCTATGCATTTTATTAAATGGGGATCTAAATCGTTACTCGTCATTGTTCAACGCCTAAAAATTGATATAAATTTTTAATTGTTGTGATTAACTGAAATTTTATACTGTGTTTATAGTGAATAAATACCTATTTCTAAAATCTCACCGAAGAAAACAAAATATTTTTTTGAAGACAGCAAAAAGTGGGGTTAGGGATGATATAGTTGAACTACTGTAGTACATTTGAACTACTATACTGTTTGTCCAAATTAAAGAGAATTTCTGCTATAACTGGTTGCATATTGTACAATAAAGAATATGGAATATTTGAAAGAAATATTTAAACTTTAAACACAGATACGTCTAAATATTTAAATAACATTAATATGTTTGTTCAACCGCAACACCAACTGCAATTCGAATTTGATTTGATCTTTTGCGGATTTCTTGTGGTGCTTCTCTAAGCTTATTTTATGATATACAGGGTTCGGCAAAGGTGCGTCGGGCATCTGTAGCGGCTAGAATAAAAAACTTGAGTATTTTATTTGAGTGCAAACCTAAAGTACGTACGAGGATGTATTTCAGGAAAACATTTTAACTTTGGGGTGGCTCAAGAAAGTGTGAATGGATCGGGATTATTTTTTTTTATATGGGACTTATATACAGGGTGGTCCGAACTGTATTCCGGAAACTTCGGCAGTATATTCTGCACATTAAAATAAGTAAAAAAGTTAGTATAAATGTATGTCCTAAAATGCTTAGATTCAGAGATACAGGGTGTAGAAGTTTCATTTTTATTTCGATTTTTTCCAAATAATTTCTGAAGTAACGTCAATATTGGGAGTTTTTTGACATGAGAAATTTGATTTTGATGTCAATATGACTCCTACTTGTAGAGGGCGCCACCTACATATTTTTTAATTGGATTAAAGAGTAATAACTTTTTGTCTGTACCTGTATAAAGCTATTGAGAAAAAGAATGTACATTTACGACGTTTTTTACGTCGAAAAGATCTCTTGGTAAAAATCGTTACAAGTAACGGTTCTCGAGATATTTGAAATAGAAATTATCAATACCTGTCATCATTGACATAAATTAAATATGTTGACTAAATAGTTATTAGAATGAAATCATAAATTTGAAAAGTTTTTCTGTCGAAAGTTCAACAGATAGTGTTTTATCATGAAAAATTTATGATTAATTTAAAAAAAAATAAACATTTCTCAAATTTATTTTTTCGGTCAAATAGCTATCTACTCAACGTGTTTATTTTTTGTCAATAATGACATGCATTGACTATTATCATTCTAAATATTGTGAGAACGGTTGCTCGTAGCGGTTTTTACCAAAATACATTTTTTACGTAAAAAGTCACGGAGATGTATATTTTTTAACTCAGTAGTTTTATACAGGTACGAACGAAAAGTTATTACTCTTCAAAACAGCTAAAACACATGTAGGTGGCGCCCCCTACAAATAGGAGTAGTTTTGACATCAAAATCAAATTTCTCGTGTCAAAAAACTCCCAGATACCAATTTTCATCCAAATATTGACATTACTTCAGAAATTATTTCGAAAAAATCCAAATAAAAATGAAACTTCTACACCCTGTATCTCCGAAACTAAGCTTTTTCGGACACACATTTATACGAACTTTTTACTTATTTTGATCTGTAGAATATGCTGCCGAAGTTTCCGGAATACAGTTCGGATCACCCTGTATATTATTACATTTTTGACTTCCTTTGAGATCACTTTACATAATCCTAAGACATGAGTAAATATATTTCGATAATTTCAGAGATATTAATAAATAAATAAAAAATATATACATATTACTATCATCGGTAAAATACGAGAGAAAAATCATTGGGTGGCTTTGATTTAAATTTTATTATTTTATTAATTTATTTTTTATTTAATTTTTTTTACAAAAAAAGTTCATTTTTTAATTCTTCATCTATAGAAAAATATTACACAGGGTGTTCCATTAAAAAAACAAAGAAAAATTATGTTATATTTTAGAAAGTTTGGCGTAGAATTTTGAACATCCTGTATGATTTACGAGTACCATATTTATAGTAAAGTAAGTACAGACCATCAAAAGTAAATATCTAATATAGTTTTGATTTCAGGACAGTTCTTGTATTTTTAATAATTTCTTAGAAAGGCTAAAAAATATGTAATATTTTTATTTATTTATTATAATATCTCTGAAACTATACAAAAATATTTACTTATATCTTAGGATTATGTAAAGTGATCTAAAAGGAAGCCAAAAATGCAATAATATACAGGGTGTTCCATTTAAAAAATATCATCCCGATCCACTCACACTTTTTGAGCCACCCTATTGCAATTAAAACATTTTCCTGAAATACATTCCTAAGTTTTTTTTATTCTTGGAGCTACAGATGCTCGACGCACTATTGCCGGACCATGTACCGTATGATCGAATAAAAACGGCGTCAGCGATAGCTATGAAATGAAAGCTTTGTTCGGGTTCTTGTTATTACCGATTCTCAACCATTCTAGAACTCTGCAGCGCATGCGCAAATGAAATAATGTCTTCATATTTCCTTCTGCGCATACGCATCACAGTTCTAGGACGGTTCAGAATCGGTAATAAAAGAAACCCGAAGTAATCAGAAGATCGCTGTCATTTTATATGTAAAATTATATGGGAAATGTCATCGATCGACATTTCCAAGCCAACTGGACGTCGCTTTTTTCGATCATACGGTATTTGTACACGTTTTAAATAAAATTAGAATGGTAGCAGCACTGATTAATAGTTATTTTTTATACATGACGATAAAATGGTATTTTATCGTCGATTGAAAAGATTAATTCACGAGCGATGAAATCGCTCGCGAATTAATTTCGGGAGACGATGATACAATTTTATCGTCGTGTATAAAACAATATTTTTTTCCATAGCGAGTTACGTTTTAAAAAATATTCAGAAATTATTATTTTAAGGAATTTATTACGAGTAGAAAAAATATTGTGCTGGGTTGGCGTTGGTTTCTATGTAATTTGAAAAGTCTCTTTAGTTATCAGTTTTGAGTCAATATTTTTTAATTCTATTTCGTGTCGATTGCTGAGTGAATTGGAGCCAGAATTTCCTCAAAACGAAATAAGTAAATTACCAACAGATATTCAGGCTGAGGCGACAAACGCCATATCCAAATTACTTCCATTTAAATCCCGTATAACTTATGAAAAGGAATACAAAAATTTTCAAAAATGGAAGCAATTAAAAAACGTGCGAGAAGAAATAAAGTTTTTAACCTATCCTCGCTGTTAAAGTATCATTTAATCTACCCTTGCGGTTAAAGTACTGTTTTATCTACTATTTTTGATAGATATAAGGCAATTTTAACAGTTGTCATGGAAAGAACGGAATTTAAATCAGCCATATTAATCCTCTATCCTGCCCTACCTAGACGTTGATATGCTCCTTCCTTAATCTTTTTATTTAAAGGTACGAACAACTTTTCCTATACGATGTCGCATCCAATCTAACCAGCCAGCGCTTTAAGCACACGTTTTATTTTAACCTACCCAAAAACAGAAATGTTTACCTTTAAAGCCATCCTTCTACCATTACCTCCCTTCCATCCCAACCCCCTTGTCAACCTACGGAGCAATCACCTGAATCCCATTGACAAAGGGCCCTTCGATTTCATTAGAGGAGCACGGATCCGCCCTTAGCTTGTCGGCCGATACATTCGCACGATATTGTTCGGGCCTCGTGTGCCCTTTAAACGGCCTAAAGGGCCGACATGTGGGCTAAATAGGGGGGGGGGGATACGCGTAGTTTATTTTAGTACCTATACGCGTTAAACTGTAGAATAGAAAATGCCTTTTTAGGATATTGGAACTATTTTCATATTTTAATTTCCTGTGATAAAAACAACAAATAATATATAATATATATAATACAACAAATAAGGCAGTACAATGTGTTGCATCGTGTGTACAAAAAATGTAAGTTTGTCTGATTATCCCTTCTAATATCCAATATCCATCCATCCCTTCTGATATCCATCGAAACTGCCGCATTAACGATAAATCGTAGCGTGTGTAGGGAAATTGAATGGTTTGCAGTATGCAGTCGTCAAATCGTTTGCAGTACGGAGCTTCCGTAAAATATCGTATCAACGGGTCGTGTCTGGGGTGGGGTTTGAACGCGTGGAGTGTATTCCCTGCCGCATCGCGCAGTTACCATATAATTTTTATTTATTTTTGGTTTAATCAATATTATGGATTTAAAAAATAAGACGTTCTGGGAAGACTTTATTGATTTATATAGAGAAAATAGATGCCTATGGGACGTGAAATCAAAAGATTATGCAAATAAAATGAAAAAAAAATCTTTCTCTCCAGCAACCACTTTTTAAGCCATTTCATTTTTGATTTCTTTTTGTTCATCACAAGCACGGCAGCTTTCTTCTTTGAAATTCTTGACATAACGGTAGCCCTTCTCGACGAAAAGTGAATAATCTGAACTGCGGCAGTACAATGTGTTGCATTGTGTGTACAAAAAATGGCTGTACTGCAAGCCGTACGATTTTCTTTACGATCTGCAGTTCAACGCGCAGTACGATAAATCGTTACGTGTGTAGGCCGTTTTACACTTAGAGATAAAAAACCCAATCATACAATACGAAATAAATCGAACAGGAGTAAGAGATGCGGTGATATCTTACATCTTAAATGGAATTGGGCAGGACATGTGGCTAGGATGGCTGATGGACAGTGGACAAAGAGACTTGTGGAATGGAGACCAAGACACGAGGCCTATAGAAGCAGAGGACGATCTATAGAAGCAGAGGGCGTCAGCGATGGTTATGAAATGAAGATCGCTGTCATTTTATATATAAAATTATATGGGGAATGTCATCGATCGTCATTTCCAAGCCAACTGGACGCCGTTTTTCTCGATCAGACAGACAGTATGCGAAAATCTTTATAAATGGCAAAATATATCTTTTTGCGGACGACACTAGCTTCACTTGGAGCAACAAGGACGTCACGGCACTTCATAGGATTATATCAAATGATTTAATCACTATTAAATCTAGGTGCGACTCGAACCTCCTGAGTCTCAACATTTCTAAAACTAAAGCTTTGTCGTATAAAAACTCGCTGCAGCCTTTTGTACTTAACAACACCTCCATTCTTAGGGCTTGTTGTAGACAGTTCTCTGAAATGGGACATACATATCGAAGCTTTGTCGAAAAAATTGAGCTCTGCCGGTTTTGCATTAAGATCTGTTTCTAAGGAGCTTAACTTGTCAGTGGCTAGAACTGTTTATTATGCACTTTTTGAGTCGCACCTCAGGTATGCCCTTCCATTCTGGGGTATGTGTTGTGCGACTCAATTTGGACTGCATTTTCAAGCTCCAGAAGTATATTCCTCCTTATAATTTCATTTCAGATGCTCAGAAATGTATCTTATGATTTTATCTAGTTATCTTTTCGAAAAAATGTCTTTTAAAAATAAGCGGTTTGCGATCGTAATTTTACTTTACTTGATAGGGTGTGACAAATCCTTTCGGATTAATCACTTGTCTATGGGTAGCGTGACTATTTTATAATTATAGAAAACAATTAAGTTGAGCGGAAGGCAAACTTGGATAAGAAGTACATCGACTCTTTGGGGCGTATGTTTAATGCTTTGCCTTGATGATGTTAGTTACACAAATCTACTATAACTTACCTTAATTTCGGCCCGACCTCTATCTGTAAATCTGTAGCTCATTTCTCGAGACTTTTCTGGACTGCTTTGGAGATATTCTGCCCGTTCATAAGGACCTTATTTATATACTTTTAAAACACTCTTGGTTATTTTTTACTATAGAAATAAAACTGCCGAGTTTTTAGAAAACATTTAAATTTAATATTAAAAAGAAAATAAAGAAGTAAAAATACTGAAAATAAAAAAATTATATATATATATGATCGAAATTACTTGTTATTACTAAAAATGGAAAAGAGATGGAAAAATACAAGAAAATTGTCTGGTGTCTGCTTCGTTGAAAAATCTGATAATTACATAATCAATTGAACCTTCATTACTAAATCTTACTACCACACATTAAAATAATTTTAGAGAAGAAAGTTAAAACAGAAATTAAAAACATTTGACAAAAGGACATAAAAAAAATACTATTAGTAGACACCAGACTTAAAAACTACAGGGGGTCACATCGTGAACCTTACCGAGTTTCGCGAACCCGAAAGAGAACCGTCTCTTTTAGAAACTTAAACCGAACTAACTTTTCTGCCTAAAAACAGCCCCGAGGTTCCAACATTACAGGGTTGAAGGGTGGTGCATTCGGTACTTCGCCAATAGGATCATCCCTAAAGGTACTGTTCTTTGCTTGATTGGTCAGCTTGACACCGCCCTTATTCTCATTTATGTCTAGATACGTGCTTTCCTAAAGTTCCCAGATCCTTTACAAACATCCGGCGATAGTTACATGTTATCAAGGGTGGTTATTGGTTTTACAATGTCCCAGCGTTTTTATCTAAGGTCTATCTTTACAATTTTTTGTTTACTTCTAAGTTCTACAGTTTATTTGCTTTGCCTTTCTATAAGTTTGGAAATTCAAAAATAGTCACGTTTGAAAGATGTTTGTTTTATTACTTCCTGTTAAAAGACCCTCTCCCGAAACTAATAACCGAAAACATCGACTTGAACGTAAAGGACATAGGAAATAATCTGTCAATCATATAAATAATAATATAAAGGAAATAATCTGTTACAAGGGAAAGGCGTACCGGAGAAATGTGGCAACGCCGCAACAACACACCGCACCGTCGCATTTCTCTCACTCCGTCTTAATAAGATCCCTATGCGATTTACTTCCACACATTAGATTTAGATTTAGATTCTTAGAGGTGGCTTTCGGCCTGATCCACTGCGACCTTCTCAGATCTATTGTGGTCCTCTTCTGATCCTTAGATTACATTCTCCAGTCCTATCCTTTTAACAAAGTTTAGCAACTTGGAGACTGAACCCTCCATGTAGCTCCTTGGCAATGGCCTATCATTGCCTATTACCGGGAACCGCACATTTGCCAGGCTGTCACACCGACATAAAATGTGTTCTGACGTTTCTTCTTCAGATTGGCAGAACCTACACATAGTTTCGTCTGTCAATCCCATCAGCTTTAGATGCCTATTTAGCTTACAATGCCCTGTTAGTAGACCTACTACAGCTTTGACTGTCTTTCTGTCCTTGCTTATCAAGTCTACCGTGAATTTTGGCGAACGTTCTACAATGAACCTTTTCGCCTGTCTGCCCTGGTGAGTTTATCCACCATTCTAGAGATTTGTTGGCCACCCATCGCTCCGTGGCCATTCTCATGACCGCCTTTGCAACGCCGCAGAAGGGTTCTGGGCCTATGAATGGCATTGATGAGCCTTGCTTGGCCCTTTCATCTGCCTTTTCGTTACACTTGTGACCCTCGTTCCCTGGCACCCAGGCCAACGTAACAGTGCTACGTTCGCCCAAAGTATTCAGAGCACGCACACAGTCCCCCACTAGTCTAGAATTGACCTCCGTGGAGCTGAGTGCCTTTAGCGCCGCTTGGCTGTCTGTGAAGATCGCCACAGAACGATTTGTTCTTTGTTGCCTTATTATTTCTTCTACACAATAGTGGATTGCCGTTATTTCTGCCTGGAAAATTGTGACATCCTTGGATAGGCTTACGTGGAAGGTCTCCCTTGTTTCGGCCCTACTATCTCAGCTTCTACGCCTTCTGACGTTTTTGAGCATACCAGGTTGCCTCAGCTTGAATGGGTACACCTTTACTCCAGTCTTCCCTTCCTGGTATGGTTATATTAAATTTGTTGTTGAAGCTATACCTAGTAGCTGTTGCATCAATTGGCAATCCCAATACTTTGTCTGCTTTTAGCTCTTCGATTAGCTTCTGGTTAGCAGCACTATGCGTTTGGCTTATGTGCTGCTGACCGTGAATTAACCTGTGCATGACAGATCTGGCTTCGCCTTGTATGAAAATATGTAGTGGTGGTAAGTTCAACAAGACTTCCATCGCATTTGTAGGAGTGTTTTTATGGCCCCAGTTACACACAGACACGCAAGCCTTTGTGTGGAACTTAACAGCCTTACCGCACCCACTTGCGATGTCTTTGTCCACCACGCCACCGACCCGTAGGTTATCATGGGTCTTACTACCCTTGTGTATAGCCATAGAGTCATTTTAGGGTTAAGTCCCCAGTTTTTTCCACACATCCTTCTGCACCTACCTAAAGAGATGGCAGCCCTCTGTGTTGCTTTCGCTATGTGAGTATTCCATGTAAGCCTTTGATCAAAAAATATCCCAAGATACTTTGTTTCTTTGGCAAATGAAATCTCCGTTTCTCCTAGCACTGGTGGTTTTAGGCCTTTTGGTGCTATCTTTTTTGTAAAATTGACAATTTGTGTTTTCTGAGCATTGACTGTCAGTCTCTCTTGTTTGCACCACTTGTCAACTTTGTTTAGGGCTGTCTGCATTCTTTCTGATATCATACCAGCAAACTTGCCCCTGACCACAATTACGATGTCGTCTGCATATCCTAGGCAATAAAAACCTTGTGTGGACAGTTCGTTGAGGAGGTCATCTACCAAGGTTGCCCAAAGTAGAGGAGATAACACTCCTCCCTGTGGACAACCTCCACCCGCTACTGCTTTGATAGTAGCTTGCCCTAGAGTGGAAATCACTATCCTGTTTTCTAAGGCGGCCCTTATCCATCTACATACCACTGCAGGTGTACCTCTTCTACTCATTGCATTTACTAGTGAGTCGGTAGTAGCATTATTGAATGCTCCCTCAATATCTAAAAAAGCGGCCATTGCTATTTCTTTGTCCTCTATCGACTTTGAAATAAGCCTATTTAAATCATCTAATGCAGCATCCGTGGATTTACCTGGTTGGTATGCATATTGACGATTGCTTAGGGGACTATCCCTTAGCACTTCGTCCCTTAAAAACCTATCCAAGAGCCTCTCTAGCGTTTTCAGTAGGAAGGAGGATAGGCTTATCGGTCTATATGACTTTGGTGTAAAGTCCGATACCTTGCCTACCTTAGGAAGATATATGACCTTAACCTTTTGCCATCTTTCTGGTATGACTCCCCATGCCAGGCTAGCTTTGAGAATCTTACATATGTGAGGTATTAATTCCTCTATTCCCATCTGTAATAGTATGGGATATATACCGTCTGTACCCGGAGATTTATACGGCTGGAATTTATTTATTGCCCATCTAATTCTACTTGGTCTGGTAACTTCTGTGGCAATTTTCCAATCCACAGGCCTTGGCCTGGCCAGCCTTGGGTCTAGGTTGGTTTGCCTAGTAGAGTCCCTCAGAATTAGCGAGGCCGGAAAGTGAACTTTTACTAATTCTTTAAGAGACTTTCTTCTTTAGTTTCTGTATAAGTGCCATCAGCTTTCTTAATGAAACCTATTTCCTTGATGGATGCCCCATCTTTTGCCAGGACTTTATGGATACGAGAGCATGCCGGGACATCTGTAATTTCCTCGCAAAACTTTCTCCATGAATTCCTTTTGGCTTTTCTAATTTCTTTATTGTATTGCGTGAGCTAATACCTGTAGGTAGCCCAATCTTGGTTGCTTTTGGCCTTGTTAAAGAGGCTTCGAACTTCCGATCTTAACCTCTTCAAGCCGTTGCTCCACCAGACTGTATTGCTACCCGTGTTTTTCTTAGTTTTTTCTGGACAGTTTTCATGATAGGCCGCCACAATTGCTTCGCTTACCCTTTCCACTGTCGAGTTTAGAGCTTCTACGCCCTTTATCTGTTCCGTATTACCGTCTAGATACCTACTGAGAGACATTCTAAATCCTATCCAGTTTGTATCTCTTGGGTTACGATATTTGATTTCTGACGGAAAGATATTAAGGTCAAACCGAATATGTCTGTTGTCCGAACACGACGGTTCGTCCGACACATGCCAGTTTGTTATGTTATCACTTACCTTGCCTGTGCAAAGAGTTAAGTCTAAAACTTCTTTACGAGCCCTAGTGACAAACGTAGGTTTATTTCCTATATTGGATATTAGTAAACCCTCAGATAAGATGAAATTTAAAACAGACTCACCTCTAGTATTGATGTTAGTGCTGCCCCACACGGTATGATGTGCGTTGGCGTCACATCCTATAATGAGCTGTATTCCTTTTTCTAGGCAGAATGCAAGTACGTCGCTTATAATGCTAGGTGGACATTGAGCTTCATCGCCAGGGAAGTAGGCTGAGCATATCACCATTCTCTTTTCTCCTTCTTCCGTGGTTAGTGTTAGAATAGCTGTAACTACATCATCGGTGCAGAGCACCGGTATTAGTGTACAATCTACTCTATTACTATGAATTATGCACGCTCTTGGTCTTATGGGCCTAGGCGTGCATAAAACCTTACCTTGTTTAGATGATAGACCAGCAATTTTCTCGCCTATCCTCCAGGGTTCCTGCAGGAGGGCCACATCAATGCCTTCTTGTTCCATCCTTCTGACCAGCGTTGCTGAAGCAGCTTTTGCGTGCTGAAGGTTGGCCTGCAGGATCCTTATTTCTCTCTTCACTGCAAGAGTTGGAAGGGTCAGGTTTACAGGACTCTTCCTCCCCGATGGATTCCGCGAGCTCTTGGACCAATGTCCTTTTGAGCGGGCTGGTTCCATCCAGAAGAGGTTCTTCCTCCACCTGAACTTCCATCGGTAGGGATTGCTCCCCTTCTGCAATACAGGTAGTTGCGTCTGGCTTCTCCCGCGATACTGTACTCTTCCACACATGTAAATACCGACCTAAAAGTAACAGTTGCTAGCACGGTATATTTCACTTTCAAATTTGGAACACCTTGCATTAAAAAAAGAAACAAATTTTCCTGAATTTTTTCGTACCTATTCATTTACAACTTCTATACCATATCGATAGTAACACGTTAGAAATTCATCAATACAACACGACTGAAAAGAAAACTTGTCCTTCTGGAAATTCCGACCCAATAATATAAAACTTCCTTTTCCTTTTCATCCGAACTATTCATCCCCTTCCCGACTTCCTCATCCTTTTAACTTCTTGCGACGATCCGAAAATCTCTGGGAAACTGACCGATTGAAACATTCCTCAGAAATAAATCCTTAGAGAAACCGTACCTACCCTCATCCCTTGCAGGAAGCTCAGTGGCGGTCAAATCCAATGTGAGAGAATAAGGGTTATATGAAGGCAAAGAAAACTTTCAAAAATAAATTTGTCAAAAAAAAATACTTATTAGAATAAGTCGAATTAATATAATATCAAAGGAAGTATAAGGGTGTTAATTACCGAGGGTAAAGTTTCTGTTTCGAAGGCCTATAGCCCGAGGATATTAACACTATAATTCCCGTGGTACATGGATAATTTTATTTCTTACTGAATTTAGTATATTTTGTCCCATTTAAAAATCTACAGAAATGTTGCGTATATTAATCTTCCGGTATATTTCTATTAACGCTGTTGGTAAGAACTTTGTTGTCAGATTACTATTGTATTAAGTAACCTGTTTATAAACAATTAACGGTTGTTGTCGAACGAGTTCAGATTTTCGTCAAAAAGAGGGTTTAAATATATCTATACTAATATATAAAATCCTTAAGTGACTCATTGATTAATCACGATCCTGCTCAAACCACTCAACGTAAGAAGCTCAATTTTGGAATACAGGTTGATTCTAGGTGTAGAGGTTCGATAAGAAGGGAGTTTTCGAAATTCCAGTTCCAAGGGGGTGAAACCACCCCTCAAATATTACAATATTTTTTATTTTTAAATAAAACGGCCAAGTTTCCGAAAAAACGATTAAACACGTAGGGTCAATCGACCAGTGAATGAACAGTTAACCGAAGTATTAACTTTAAATAAATCACGATTTTTTATTTTATATAATATGGGGTAAAACTGGTACAAAGGCAACTATCTATAATTGAACAATTAAGAAAATATTACCTAGACACAAAAATAAAATAATACGGTTTCACAAATTTCAATTTTCGGCGAATAAGCGAAATATCTAGTAAATGAACGATAGAAGTCAGTGAATAAACACATAAAGACCAGTTAATGAACGTTGTATTTATTAAATTAAGCTTTACAAAAATTCAAGTTTAAATAAACATAAGCTTTTAATAAACATAATCAGGTAAGAGTATAATATAAAAAACATTATGCTGCATTTACATATTAATAACAAAAGTCCCTTCAGCGCTATGAGGTATTGGAACAGCAATTTTTTTCACAATTTTATCCGAGTAATACCAAATTTGATCAGGTGGTGACGGCCACTTCCAAGTGTTCTTTTTTGTACTATGGATGTTTTTTATCTTTACCTCTGTCAGTGTATATATTTTGTTCATAATTTTAAGTTTTGTACGTGTTTTTCTATATTCTTTTGTGTATATTTGTATACATATTACTTTTATTGTACCATGTGTTTGCCATACGATAAATAAATAAATGTACTATGGAGAGCACTTACTTTATATTCATTATTTTTAACAGCCTTTATTAGGCCAGGATAATGTGAATCCTCATAGTTTACCAGAACATAATCAAATACAAATAAATACAAATACTTTATTGCCGACAAAATGATCTTCCCGATCACAAAGCAACGTCACAGAACAGAGTATATTATCCCATTACAGAGTATATTATCTTAGAACATTCTTAATCACCTTTAACAAAAGGAACACTTAAGTCAAAATTTGATGTTGATTTTTCTAAACTTATTGATGACAATTTAGGGGAAATTTTATTCTTAGTTCCTTCTTCGTCCGATTCTTCGATTTTTTGAGCATTATTACGTTTCGTCATTTCTGACCATTTTTCTTATTTTTCGTATGTTTTCTTTTTTTGTCCTTGTAGTTTCAATTCAAATAGTGACAGATTTTCATCCGTACTTGAGGAATCATCTCTGTTAAACCGTTTTGTATACTGTTGCTCGATTTTCTGATCTTTATCACGCTTCCGCTTTTCTGACTTTTTCTCTTGTTTTTTGCATGTTTTTCTTTCTTGTCCTTGTTTTAGCTTCAATTCAAAAAGTGACAGGTTTTCACTCAAGTTTCTGTTAGGTCTCTTTATTTCATACTGTCGCCTGATCTTATTTTTTCGTTCTTGTTGTTCCATTCGCTTTCTTTCTCTATCGAGTTTTTTTTTAATGTCTTCCTCTTTTTGACGCTTTATTTTATCTTGTTCTTGATGAAATTCTACCCATTTTGTTGAAGTTATCGCCTAGAGGCATCACTTAAGTTCATGCTGCCTGATTCTACTGCTCTGATACCCAGTGACAACTGCTCTTTGGAATATTTGAATCTAGTGTATTTCCGCTCCATCTGTACCAACAAAAAATATTTATTTTTAGTAATCGCCGAAAACTTTTGATAAAACTATAATACTAAAAATTAAACCTCCAAAACAAAAACTAGTGCCCACTTATCCTAATAATAAGAGACAGAAATCATTTGCAAAAAGGTCTTATGCTTAATCTAGTAAATGAACAGGAACAATATCCAGTAAGTAAACGATTCAAAATCCTGTTCATTTACTGGCTGGCATTTATTTTTATTACATTTAAGGTATTTTAATGGATTTACATAAGTAAACAAAGCTTAAGGGTCATTTTAAAGCAATTTCAGATAATCGAATAAAATACCAGTAAATGAACAGCCGTTCATTCACTGGAATTTGAACTTTTTTCCCGCCAGTTATTAAACACATTAAATGAAAATATAACCTAAAAGATAATAGATGTTTTACTTTTGGATTAATAACGATGAATTGTTGAAATGTATATTCTCACACACTGCCAAGCTTTTATATTTTATGAACAATTAAATACCATCATTAATAATAGGATATGCATCTACTTACCCTAAAGAAAATGGCGCTTAAAAGACTAACAACGTCAGACTACAACTTTGAACAGCGATTAGCACGTGTCGTTTATTAACTGGTTGTATTTTAGCAAGTTAGTCGTAAACTACGCAGTGTAAATTAGATTAAAAAAGGACAACAAATAGAGTTTAATGGCCGTATACCTTATTAGAGCAAGATAAAGTTATTTTGTCCATTAACTGGGTCACATTCATTCACTGGTTGGTTTACCCTATATTTTATTTTGTTTTTTTACATATTTTAAGATTTTTGAAAAATGTATACAGGGTGTTTCCAAAAATCTGGTCATTGATTAATCACGATCCTGCTTAAAGCGCTTGACGTAAATAGCTGACTTTAGGGTGTAGAAGTTCGATAAGAAGGGATTTTTTGAAACTCGAATTCTAAGGGGGTGAAATCACCCCTAAAATATTAGAATATTTTTTATTTCAAAACCGATGAGTTTTTTGGAAAAAACTCTTAAACACGTATATTTTATTTTGTTGTTTTACATATTTTAAGATTTTTTAAAAATTTATACAGTGTGTTTCATAAAATATGACCATTGAGTAATCACGATTCTGCTTAAACTGCTTGACGTTTAAAGCTGATTTTTGGCAAACGGATTGACTGTGGGGTGTAGAGGTTCGATAAAGAGAGGTTTCTCGAATCTCAAATTCCAATAGGGTGAAAACGCCCCTCAAATATTACAATATTTGTTATTTAAAAAACGGTTAGTCTTTCGGGAAAACGCTTGGATACGCATAATTTATTTTGTTTTTTTACATATTGTTGCGGGCCGGTGTGGACTCGACCTAACCTCACAATATGGCCCGCCCTCGGATGACCTTAACATCGCATAGACACCGCAATGATTCATTCGTTCGAGAAGAATCGAGTCCCACTGGAATGGACGAGTACATACGAGAACATTCGAAAACCTTCTCTACGCACCTAACGATCTATGGACAATTCTAGAGTTCTTTACCTGCCGGTATAAAAGCCGGCGGCCGTGGCTACAGGGGGCAGTTATAAATATACCAGTGCAGTTGACGCGCTAAAATTCAAAATAAATTCTTAGTTATAAATCGTTTGTAAATAGTTCTATAAGTCTTTTATCGTTATTGTTTTTGTTAATTAGTGTTAAATAAAGAGTGTTTAAATAAATTGTGACTTTCTATCCACACGGAACCGAGGAAAAACGTAACAATTGGTGTCAGGTGTGGGGTGTGTGATAAGAAAAATAAAAAAACTAACAATGGCTCCGAAGAAATTGTTGAAAGACTTGAAAGTGTCCGAACTGAAATCCATATTGGAAGAGAGAGAGTGCGAGACAGATGGAAAGAAAAGTATTTTGCAAACCAGACTGAGAGACGTTTTGATTGAGGAAGGTGAGGATCCTGACACATTTTGCTTTGAGCTGGAAGGTGACCTTGACTCGTCCTTACAAAAATTAGAAGACAGTTTGAATGATAAAATGACAGAGAATTCTCAAAATTAGACGACAACTTGAACAATTTGAATAGTAAAATAACTGACTTGGAAGTTAATTTAGAAGATAAGATCGCAAAAATTCTAAAGACATACAGGCCAGCTTCAATAATAAAATATTGAATTTAGAACAAAGTTTATACAACAAGATAACAGAAAACTCCAAGGAATTAGAAGAAAAGATAATAGATACACAAGACAAAATAGCACAGATTGAGGACGATGTTAACAGAAAAATCGAAATTTTAAAAGAAGAAATAGCGAAGTCAAATTCACCAAAATGTCAAGAAACATCGGAGGGACCGAAACTAGTCGAAAATAGGTATGCCTCAAAATCAGTTATAAAACCTCCACAGTTTGACGGAAAAACCGCTTGGGCCAATTATTTTTGCCA